CAGTGTTTCAGAGCCAGGTTGTTGACAGCATCGAGGGCCAACTGCTCCGCATAACATCGATTCGCTCAGCAGTAAGACACAGTAGCAAGACACTACAAGCCGTGCCGTTCCATATGCTTTCCTGTCACTTCCGTTGTTTTCTCCGTCTCCGCGCTGCCTAATAGTTCTTCATTTGAGGAAAACGAGACACGAGGTAATTCAGCTCTGGGAACGGACATCATCGCGTGAAAGTGCGTGTAAAGCGGAAACGAGCCAGCGCTGTGCCGGGACGTACCGGCACCAGCGTCGCGGCCTGGTTCCTCAAGCTACGAACGATACGCTAGTTCGCTGTCCCAGGTTTGTCTTTATTTATTGCTTATTTTATTTTCTGAAACCTCGCTCCGAGATTGGGACCGCTCGACGATTATTTGTCGCTCAGAAATCGACTCAGTCTCCGAGATTCCGTTCCGCCAGCGCGAACTCGGGCTGTGCGAGGCCGAGGAAAGAAGGACGCGCGGTCGTTCTCGCCCGTGTTGCCTCGCTGCCGCGGTAGAAGAATCCGACCGCGTTTACGGTTATTGTCAGCTGTCCGAGCCGCTCGGCTGAAAATTTGTTTTTCTTAACCAAACTTGCAGAGCGTAACGTATTGTGTAGGAGATCGAACAGTCACGCACCTAACGGGTCACTTAGCTGTGTGGGCAACAAGCATAAATTGCACGTTTGTTCTATGACGGAGTGATCGGCTGGGGCTCTCGTTTCGAACCTGCGTTAAAGTCCCTCGATATGATTTGTCTGCCTTGCAAATGCACCAAAGCACCGGAATTGTTCCTCGCGTAGCCCTTGGAAGCAAATGGAGGCGCAGCACTGAAATGATCGGCCCTTGGAAGCGAATGGCGTGGCAAAACTCGCTCGAGGAACATGTTTCTAGCTCTCCCACAGCAATGGGCTCGTTCGTAGCTTGTGCTTTGAGCCAAGTACTTAAATATGGAAGATAGTGAGCAAAGACAAGTGTGAGCTAGCACACATTTAATGCTCTGAAACGATAGGGGTCGTTACGCGAAAGCACGTTTTAAAATTTGAAGCCACGATATCATGCCTGTTAAAGCCTCCATGCACACCTCTGTAAGCTTGCATTAGTTATAGGTACAACAAAGTCAAAGATAAGTCCTTCGTTAGATATTTAGACGGCGTGAGGTTAATCTGCCAGACTATCTGGTGACGCAAACAATGGAGATGAAAACTTTCGGCAGTGCAGTACGACTGCTAACCCGGGATCCTTAACGTGCATCACACCAGTACGATGCTCATCCAGATAGAAACGGACAGGGGTTGGGACCGGAGTTCAAACCTACGCTCTCTGGGTTTTGGAGCGTTAGCTTTTACTCCACGTGCTCTGAGATACCCCCCAAGAAGAAGAATAGACCGATCTCACCAGCCAGTTTGACCACGCCACCGCTGCCGCAATGCATCGAGGGAACTTTAGTCTTTCTGCACGTGAGACAATCTCGCTGGAGCTCTGCGCGTGTGGAGCACGAGACGGCACGAGCCCTCGGATGCTCGGCCGTCTGCCTCCCGTGAACTAATGTTATGGTGGCGCCACGCATGCGCCGAACGCTAAGTGAGATCGGTCTATGGGACGAAAGAGAATTTATTCTGAAGCTCACTTGAAGAAAAAAGAAGAATAGCGTGCTACCGGCGTGCCGGCAAGAGTTGGCCCAATCATGCACTTCCTGATTTGACCTGGCCGGGGAGCTTCTCGAACGAAGGAGGTACGTTGGTGCGAGAATCAGATTGATATCATTGCATTTCATTTGACGGCATGATTTCCCTGTACTGCAGCTTCAGCCGAGCGTCTTGAGCTTGGAAGACCACAACGGTGGGGTTGAATCCTCAGTGGCAGGGAAATCAGGCGTAATGCGTAGTGCTCGCGTCTCGCGTCAGCTAATACTACGTCCTACTGGTGGAAAAATCTCAAGCGGATTCAGGCTGATCTGAGCAGTGTCACACCGCACTACCGCTCGGTATACACGGCGTGCAGCTTCGGACAAACGGGAACCCTGTGCAGATCCGAAGATCCTGCCTGCGAGCGAGATATCCTTGCATGCTCGTCCTTTGCTGCCTTACAGCCCGTCGGTGCTTTCACTTTTCGCACATAACTACGGTGAAGAGAGTTGTGAGGGATGCGGACGGGGGAATGAACCCGACTGGGGCTCTCGAAAACTTCCGGGACACCGACTGGATTGACCAGCCTACACCGGTGCAGTTTGGAGAACGTTTCCGAGCGCTAACGGAATATGTTAAAACTTTTCACCAAAATGTCTTTTGGTGGTAAATTTACGGCCCGTTCGCACATGCAGCGGAGCGCTACAAGCATAGCGCTAACCTCGCGCTAAGCGCGTGCTGACGACAGCGTTCACCAGCTTTGTATCGCACCGCCAAAACTGTTGCTCATGGCATACGAAAAGTAGCTGATGGCACGTGAGGAGCGTTACATCAGCGCTTCGCTGCATGTGAGAACCGGCCTTTATCATACTCAAATTTCATAAATATGGGCAACACAAAAAAAAGGCTCTTTTTTAAAGGAACGGGGTTTTAAAAAGGAAATCTTTTTAAAACCCTGTTTACCCCGTTTTGTTGCTTTCGGGTCTTCATCTCAAAGAAGCTTTCATGTTTGTGCTTTATGTTGCAAAAACCGGTGTGAAAAGTTTCGTTGCACTCAATTCATTCAATTAATTGTAGAAGCTTTTTTATTTATTTTATTTTTTTACGTCAGAATAGTCTGTGGAAGCACTACTCTGTAGAACGGTGGAGGAGCTCCGAACACCCACTGAATCGGTGATAGGCACTTTCGCCGGCCGCTCGCGTCCGACCGACATTCTGGCTTGGCCCGATCTTCACAGAGTCGACACGTATATGTCAGCCGTCCCACGCCATACCGCAAATGCTGTCGATACGGCATTACAGAAAAGAGTTGCAATTCGGTCAAATGATGTTGTATCAATGTGGCGTTGCCAACAACATGGCCCGGTGTCCAGATGGCACTAACCGCCGTCGCTTGTGAGGCCGGCATTAACACAGCCAACACGGCAGAATGGCCACTGCAAGCGCGGGAAATTGCATTCACTGAAACAATGGGGAGATGATACGTTTCGAGATTCCATGTGCTACTTTAGTCGGGAAGTGTCAAGCTGACGACAACGTTTATTCTGTGAGCCGGTGAAATGGCGCGTCGCAGATGGTACTGCTACAAGATGCGAATGTCACGTTATCTGTTAGAAATATTACAGTGCGATTACATGCAATGCGCGCATTACTTGTTGGCATATTGGCTATTGTCATATTGGCCATTGTCAAGCAGAGCTTGGCGCGGTCGTTTCTACGGCTGTGAGTCGCTCTTTAGAAAGGACTAAACAAAAATAATTTAAATGGTTGACCCAGCAGTGGGAAAGGCTGTCGTCACCCAGATGATGAGCGTATGTCTGACTCTATTAATGCGACAGAAAGCGCAGTTTAAACTTTTTATTTCCTGTTGATTCTGATTTAGCAGTTTAAATGAATACCAACACTCGGTTCATGCAGCAGGTTTGCCACTTGAGATATGTAACTGGGAGCGATGTAGGGCGGACAATTAACCTGAAATTTCCCTATTGACCAGACCGCAATCCGCAGAGCTAAGGGAATAATGGACAAGTTAACTGCTATTTCACGAAGGATACACGCACCCAATACTGGAACTTAGTTGTGTAATGTTTGCAACAAACAGATGCAGGAATTTTTTTCTGGGAGGGGGGCTGCTTGGATCTTCACGACGTGAAGATCGGAGAAGAAAAGGGGGTAGGGGTAAGGGGGGGAGGGGGGTTGACGCTATGCACGTATACCCCCTTGCCAGCCCCCTTTCTACGCGCCTGGACCAAACTGGTTATTAGTTCAGGTCTTCTTACCTGGATAAAAATGTACTATGACTGTGCTCGGGCGCCCCCTACAATATACAGCGAATTTTAAAATTTCTCTTTGAAATAACAGTGGTTCAGACATATCTGCACATTCTCGAATCCGCGATCTCCAGTGGTTGAACAAAAGGTCCTCCTGACCTTGAGTTCGACATATCGGAGTCCAGACATTCCCCTTTCCACATCGAGACCTTCCCTTTCGAAGACCTCCGGTCTTCGAAGGGGAATGTCTCGCCAATTTGTTCTGACTGGGCGTCGATCTATTTGTGACTTAATGACTAGAAGTGACGATCATTTTAACCTAAAATACGTTCATATGTCTGTGCTGACGAACATTACTGAATCACGTTTAGTCTGGGTACCCAGTCAAATTGGCATCTCTGAATATGAGACCGCTGACGACCCGGTACGAGCTTCACTGGATTGTCCAGTTGTTGATGTTATTACCTCCCTTCACTTTGTTCCGAGTGCTGTGTCACCGCCGGTGTTTTTTTCTTACTCACGGCCCCGACGACCACAGAATCTAAGGATTCTAGAATGCTGTGGTCGTCGGGGCTGTCCCCTGAGGAACCCACGGGACGTGCCCGAGGTGGGCGGATAACTGTCGACTCAGCAGCCGCCTGTGATTGTTGTGGTGACCCTTGCCTCGTTGGTGCATACCCAAGGAGGTCTTTATCCAAGGATCAGTGTAAAATTAAAGCAACTTTTGTATACTATGCGCCGAGAAACTGAGGGAGAGGGGGAAGCGAGAGCGCGTGGGGACGTCAGAACGTCAAGCTCTGCTTGGTATGATTAAAGACGGCATCTAAAGCTATAGCTGCCTTTGTCTCCATGACGTGCCCGAGATGGGCATCCGCCCATCTCGGGCACGTCCCGCGGGTTCCTTAAGGGACTGACCCGACGACCACAGCTGAAGATGCATTGGACTGGTCCGTGAATGGCAAGGTCGCATCTACCATTGGTCGCGCAGACCCGAGAACAAGAACGCAAGCGCGCCGTGATGCAGCAGCGTAGAACACGGCCATCTTTCGTGACACTGGGATTGCGCCTTTTGCTTCGATGGTGCAGGGCGATGTGGCTGGGCGTGTGGCTGACTGGGCTGGCGTGTCTGCTGCTGCCACCGGCGACCATAGGCCAGCGCGACCGTCGCGAGGTGCACAAGCGAGCTCAGCCTCCCAGCGGCGCCTCGTCAGGTCCCGGCGACGGGGCGCATCGCGAATCCGGGCCCTCACAGACACAGTTCTTGGACGTGCGCAAGCTTCTCCAGCTGGTCCTCTCGCAGTCCAACGAGGACGGTCACGCCAAAAGAGGCCAGCCCGAACTGAGTCATCACATGGATGCTTCAATGGCGGAGCTGGTGGCCGTGCAGACGCTCCAGGGTGACGTTGCCTGGATTGAGGCCAGGTTCGTCAACGAGTCCCACAAGGCGGGCCACCGACATCGGACACGACCTTACACGCTCGAGGAGCGGATGGCGTTAATCTTGCCCGTGGCCGCCTTCCTGCTGCCGTTCCTCGTCTGGATCTCCTGCATGCTGTCCTGCATTCGTCGTTCGGCCGACGGGAAGGGGGGGTCTTACTGAGGCCCTCCGACGCCGCAGCCTCCTACAATTCTTCTCGCATCACGTGCGTTCCTGGGGTATGGTCTTGATGCGCCCCGGGACCTTGGCACCAAGGCACCCCTATATAGCCTCATGCGGTTAACGTAAATCTTGCAACTGGTGAATACATGCATGCCTCTCAAGTGCGCTTACAAGCTCTTCTGCTCTTTTAACACTTGTTCTAAGCTTCATTCTTTCTGTACTTCCCGTTACAAGGCGAAGAGACATTTCGTGGGCTCTAGGCGGAGCCGAGTTTTAGTGAGGGCGTTAAGTACAAGACGCAGGCGATGCTGGTGCTCCTCAAAAGTCGCGCCATATACACGATGATATCATCCAGGTATATCAAAGCCATGGTCAACCTTAGATGGCCAAGGACCCGATTCATTAGGCATTAGGTAGTAAATAGCTAGTGAAAATTGATAGTAACGGTCAGAAAAAGGTGGTAACTGCTGCCCTTACTAACTGTTGACTACCTATGGAGCGTCTGAGGTCGTAAATAGCTAGTAAAAAGCTAGTAACGGTCATAAACAGGTACTAAATGCTGCAATAACTAACTTTTTGCTACATTTTTTCTTCTTCTTCTAATAGTGTACCGCTCGCTAGGCTATGTATGGAAGCTAGGCTTCCGTACATATGTGTGGAACCTATCTTCCATACATATTTGGAAGCCTAGCTCTTTAAGTTTAAGGACTGCTCATTTCGGTACCACGTCGCCATTTGCTTCCAAGGGTCTTAGCCACATTCACATCATTGTAGAGCCGCCGCTTCGTACGATTTCCGCCTACCAAGGCAAAGCGGCGCTCGCCTTCTCCATTGGTCGTGTGCGCATCCCCCGCCTAGGGGTCGGGGTCAAGCGCAGAACAAGCTCCCGTCGGCGGCAAGGTCGGCGCCGTCGCTTACGCTCGATTTTTATCCGGGCACGCTCGCTCGACTCGGGGGCAGCGGGGCACCGAGAAACGTGCCCGCCTGCCGTCCCATCCGACTGCAGGCCCATGAATGAAAACGCTCGGGGAGGACGACGTCGACGAGTACGCCACCGAGAGCGAGTCCGTTACGCACGGCGCTCGGGCTTGCAACGCACGTAGGCGCACCGTCGCCGCATCGTTTCAGATCTGTCTTCCGCCTGCGATAGCAGTTACGTGAAGACACGCGGTACTACTTCGCGTCGCTTGAAAGGTGAAAAACCGGATTATTTCCACAAAAAAAAATAAAGATAAAAGAACGCGATTTGTTGATACTGCGTTTGTCTCGTTTGTCTTTTTTAAACGAATGCCACGGTGAATGTGATGAGATAGGAGGTTCTGGAACGTCTTGATCGCGTGACCTGGGGGATATTAAAGATTAGGATTCACTTGAGGCTGACTGAGTCAGGCTTTCTTTGATCGATAACTTTTCTGAAGCACATCACTGTATCTTTTAGAGCGGGACTCTTAGGCGCCCATTTCCGGGTATCGCGGCGTCGGCATAACCACGCTAGCGGGAAAAGTGACGTCACGTGACCTCAACACCAATTCAATCCTCCGCTAAATTCAGTAGGGAAAATGTCACATGACTTGATGTCACGTGACTTTTGGATAAATTCAATTTCTCCGCTAGATTTAGCGGGGAAATTGACGTCACGTGACCTCAACACCAATTCAGTGTACCCGCTAAGTTTAGCGGGAAAATTGACGTCACGTGACCTCAACACCAATTTGGTTTACCCGCTAAATTTAGCGGGGAAAATGACGTCACATGACTTGGTGTGACGTCACCTATGAACAATTTCAGTTTCTCCGCTATATTTAGCGGGAAAATTGACGACATGTGATCTCAACAATTCAATTCCCTGCTAAATTTAGCGGGGAATTGAATTAGGAAGGAAGGAGGAGGAGATCGTACGGAGAGAGGCATACCCCCTCCTCCGTATACCGTCCCCTCCTACTCCTCAAGAGCCGCGCTCTAATTTCCCGTTACAGCGGTTGGTAAAGGCCTTTAATTTTAGAGCGCAGCTCTCAGGCGCCCGTTTCCGGCTTGGGCGGCGTCGCCGTCGCCGTCGGCGTAACCGCGCGGTGCATTATGGGAAATGTCCCATTATGCACCGCCCGAGCCCCCCGGAGTCACGTGACCTCGCGGGGGGGGGGGGGGCCCGAGGTCACGTGACCCCCTCCTCCTCAAGGTCACGTGACCCCCCGATGTTGTCATCGTCACTGATGACGTCATCAATGACGTTACTAATGACGTCATCAATGACGTCACCCGCATCAGCATCGTCATCATTACCGATGACGTCATCAGTGACTCACTGATGACGTCACCGGCATCCGCATCGTCATCATCACTGATGACGTCATCAGTGACGTTACTGATGACGTCATCGGTATCCGCATCGTCATCGTCATTGATGACGTCATCAGTGACGTCACTGATGACATCATCGGCACCGTCACGTGACCCCCCAGGTCACTTGACCCATCCCCCAGTACCCTTCCCTCCTCCTCCTCAAGAGCTGCGCTCTAAATCGGCGTTACAGGGAGTTGTAAACGGCTTTCCCTTTTTGCCACTTTTTATGCCACTTTTCATGAGTTCGATTATTTTTATATGCCTACTGAGAATTTGTGCCGCAGCCTGCAATGGTTACAGTCTAAATCTACAGTACCTGTGACAGAAATAAATGATTGAATCAATGACCAATGCAACGAGCATGTCAGTTACTTTAGCTGAACTAGGAAAGTTTGGTATCGCCTCAATGTGGCGATAACTAACTCTGTGGGCTCTAGGCATCACAGAAATCCATGAGTCATAGCGATGTGCGGCAGATTTCCCTATTAATAAGCAATCAAAGATCTAACACACCAAGGTGATATCCGGCGATGGGAGAAGCATTGTTCCGGCAGCAAAGACGACATGCGACCAATCAAAGCGCGACATTTCGTTGAGATTGGAAACACTATATTTACAAAATGAGTGTGCTTCTGTAGATGATAAAAGCAAATAAGAGTAATCAAAAAATGTTAATGTTTCGCGTAGGGGAAACGCAATACTACAATAACCTTCTAAAAAAAAAAACGCATCACTTTTTTTTTTTTTTTTTTTTGCGGGAGTGGTGTGTTCGGTTGTCAGCTCTCGAGCGTGCGCTCGCTGGGTTGAAATGTAGTCCAGGCTGTATGTGCAACAACCCGCGCGCAATTGAGATATTGTCACGAATAAAAACATAAACTTGATTAATATAACTTAAAATGAATGCGGCGAACTTGTGCCGAGAAACAAAGTAACAAAGACCACACGTATACTGTGACGGCGACGGAAGGACGAAAGACGCGGCAGCCGTTCGAAGCCCCACTTGTAAGCGTGTGGGTATCTAGGAGTTTCCGAGATCGAACAAGCAACAAGATTCTCGAGTATCTAGAACATTCCAGTCATGCCAACAAAAGAGATAAAAAGGAGAAGCGCTGGCGGGGACCGAACCCAAGCCAGCGGCGTAGGAGTCGGAACACGCTGCTGACTCCGCTATTCGCCCGCGGCATTACCATCCTTTTGAGAGAGAGAGAGAGAAAAAAAAAGCATCGTTTTGACGCAACACAGAATGAAATTGAAAGCTCAAAACAAGAGAAGGGGAAACTACGGAGTCACCTAAAACACAGATTTTCTCAGCCCAATCGAAGTTCATTCAGTTCGAGTCGGACGACGTGAATCACCTTCGTGTCGCAGAGGGCAACCTGACAGTGTTCGTGCTCCGTCGGGCAACGGCTTGCAGTTTAGGTCCCTCTAGTAGCGAATAACCTTGCGGCCGAAACACCACTTTAAGTGTTCCTCGCTGCGACGATGAATTGGTGTTCAGATCCTCACTTGGTAGCCGGGCTGGAACTGGGCGTCGTGGCGACAAAGATTTCCCCGTCCATCGTCGGCGAGTTGTGTGGCTTGAATCAAAATGCGGCCGATCTGGCGGACTTTCTCCGCTTGTTGAGCGACGAACCGAACGTCGTCATCCTGTTCGTCCTCGTGGTCAGCATCACACTTGTCGTTGGTACCCTAATCGGGTTCGTCATCAAGTTCCTCGTCAAGGCTGTAGTCGGGGTTGTCGTTAAAGTCATCGTCCGGGTTGTCCTTGGGTCGCCGTCGAAGTCGTAGCCGGGATCGTTGTCGATGTCGTCGTTCGAGTCGTCGCCTGTGTCATCGTCAGTGTCGCCGTCAGTCTCGTCATAAAGGTCGAAGCCACTGTTTGTCATCGAGGCCGTAATCGGGTTGGTTGTAGACATCGTAGCCTAAGTTTTTCTTTGGAGCCGTTGCCCTTTTCATCGTCGGCGTCGTCGTCGAAGTCGTCATCATGTTATTGTCGAGGTCGTAGCCAGGGGCTTTGTCGAGTTCATAGTCCGGGTCGTTTTCGAAGTCACAGTTGAGGCGGTCGTTGATGTAAGTTGAAGTCATCATCGAATGTTTTCGGAAACGTCGCCTTCACGGTCGTCGTCTTCGCAGTTATCGTGTTCACATGTGCTACGAACCGTGGGCATAGAATGCGTTACCCTCACCTCCATCAGAGAATTACGAATCAAAACACATTCTTGGTTAATAAAACTTAAAATGAACGTTTAATGCGGCGAGCTTATGCCGAGAAACAAAGGTAAAAAAGACCGCATGTACAGCTGCAACGGAAAAAGAGTAGCACAAGAGACCGATGACCGGAGCGGCAAAACCGCGACACGCGGCGCTATTGTTCCCGAGCTCGCCGATAGCGAGAGTGCAAGTCATGTTGCATTTTTCAATGTGGGGGTGGCCGGCAGGAAGTTGAGGGATAAGATAGCTTTTAAAACGCAGCCTTTAAAATAAGTTGCCTGCTGCCGGCCGCCCCCGCGTTGAGACATGGAACGTGACTGTCACTCCATGGCTATCAACGCGCTCGGAAACAAGAGCGCCGCGTGTCGCGATTTTGCCGCTCCCGTCGTCGGTCACTTGTGCTACTCTTTTTCCGTTGCAGCTGTACATACTGCGACGGTGACGGAAGGATGACAGACTAAAACAGTCATTCGGAGCTCCCTTTGTAAGCATGTGGGCATTCAGAAGTTTCCGAGCTCGAAATAACAACAAGATTCTCGAGTCATCTGGAACATACAGAGATAAAAAGGACAAGCGCTGGCGGGGATCAGACCCCAGCCAGTGGCGTGAAAGTTGAGCAAACTGCTGATTCAGCTATTCGCACGCGGCAATATCACTGCGCGGTTCCACTGGTTGGAGGCGCTAGGATCCTTCGCTTGCTGTTGGCTGACTGAGGGGCCCTGGTTTCGGAACATACTCCCCCCGTCGCCGGAGATGACTTCGGTGTGTTGCAATCTTTGATTTCTCTTTTGTAGCGTCAGCTACACTGGCCGAGGTTGAGCAGTTTCGCGTGGCTCTCAAAGAGCCATACTGCGTATGCGCGAGGAGCAGTGACGTCACACGGCGCACAGCTGGCGCACCGGAGCCGCCGCCGCCGCGCGCGCCTCGCCGGTCTGCGCATTCCAGAGGAGTGACGTCATAGCCGCGGCAGACGCACTGGCGCCGCCGCGTGCCCAGCTGTGCGCCTCCGTTGCGCAGTAGCCAAGTCTGACGCTGCACCGGAGCCGCTTGATAGCGCCTCTCATTTTGTGCGCATAAGGTCACGCTACGTATATCCTGGCACAGCCGAGCTAAGCCTCCGCATTTTTTGTTAATATCAAAATCCACCGCGTGTCGTCATGATTGAGGGATTTCTAGGATACTTAGTCAGCAGAATAAGTTATGGCCATATTTAGGCGATCTCAGAAACCTCCTCAGGGCACCTATAAGCTGAGACTGCAGCCAATATAGACTTTTCCAGAAAAGGGCTGCTGGCCGGTTTCATTTTCACTGTTCGTGTGTATCGCGCGTGATTGGCTCGCTTTCCGAAGCGACGCACACGCGCGTGCTGAGCTGTGGAGATCGCACGCTGAGCTGTGGATTTGTAAACATTGGAAAGGTCTATAGAAGCACGAGAGCTCGAGGTCGCTGCTTTGAAGCGTTCTTCCGCAGAACGAGCCCTGGCGCTAGAAATGCTCGTCTGAAAGCCACGAGCGCCGGCTAGCTCGAGCTCGTAGCTTTGGCTGCAGTCTCAGCTGATGGGTGAACGGAGTATTCGCGGTGGGAAGCTCGCTAAAGTCGACACTGTTTCCCTG